GTGTGGCCCTCAAGTAAACAAGGCTCGGAAAGCAAACCCTCCGATGCGATTCATTCACCTGCAACTGTTTCGCCCTGATAAGCTGTGATAAGAGGTATCGGTGCCCTGGTGCAAGGAAGGATTTTGAAACAAAGGAAGCGCTGAGGATCTGAGCAGCCGCAGGGCTCCTGCCCGGGCCGCGGTTTGCATCCAGGCAGCTCCGGTAGCCGAGTGATGAGCGTGGGCTGCCTGGGGAACGCCCCCGGGGATGTGGTTACCTGGCCCAAGGTCTACAGCCTGGCAGCAAAGGAGGAAACAAGGGGTAACAGCTTGAGACGAAGCAAGATGTGCCATTTTTTCAGAATTAATGAATGCTCTGAGCAGGGGGTTCAGAGATGGGAGGGCCCCCTGCAACAGAAAAGTTGCTGGTGTGGCTCTTTGCGGGGTTCTTATGTTCCTTCCCTTGTGGCAAACTTCTAGGCTGCAAGACTGTCCCCAAGGGCCGCAAGACTTCCACCACGAACCTCAGGCTGTGCCTGTGTCCAGAAGTCATGACACTAAGACGCACAGGAATTAGGAAATTTGGCACTTGCCCTTTCCTTGTAGATAAGTTTTGCAAAATGACCAAAAAAGAGAACTGGAAATTCCTGGAAAAAAGTTAAGCAAAAGGATGAGCTCCAGCCAAGCTCATTAGAGCCCAGACAGATTACAGTGGAGCTCTCTTAAGAGCAGGGTGTCATTTATTCTGATGGTGCCCCAAAAGTATGTTCACCTCAAGAGTAGGCAGGAAGTGTCGTATCTGCCTCAAATTGCCTGCAGCTGAAACAGAGAAGCAGGAAAGAAACTGTGAGGAAAATGTTCAAGATGATTGAAAGAATAGCAACTCCTAGTTTCGAAGCACCTCCTCCTCTTCCTCTTTCAAACCCCCTGCAGCCCCCGGCTGGCTCCTTCTAACCTGGCCCCCCTCGCTCCCCTCCTCTGAGTCAGTCAGGGCATGAGACGGAACAAGAATAGAAACAGTTTGTGGGTAGGGGCAGATGTTCACGGAGTGTCTTAGCGGGGGTGTTGTCTTCACCTGGCCACCGCTGTCACGGCAGCTCCCTCCCTCCTTCCGCGCCCACCCTGGGAGGCAGCTGGGCATTGCCGGAGCCGCGTGGCTGCGTTAGATGTACCGTGGGCCACCACGGTCCCTGCCACAACCGCATCCCCACCACGAGAAGCATTGCCGCAGTCGGGCCGAACAGCTTCACATCATCCCGTGGGCAGGCTGATTCCTCCCCTTTATTTTTCACTAGGTGGAGAATCTGGCACGGGCAGGGGTACAGTGACTTTATTCCCGCTCACGCAGGAAACCTTCTCACTGCCTGAGCACAACCTGTCTTTCCTGCCTCCCAGCCCCCGGCTTCAGAAGCCACTTCTTCCTCCTGGAGAAGCAGCCTGGATCCCTCGGGGCTCGGCTCCCAGTAACAGCCCAGCTGGCAAACTGGTCCCAGTGTGGCACAGGGTGGGGAAGAGGGGCTGCGGGCAGATGCTAGTGTGCTCCTCCTCCTGGGAGGAAGGAGGGGGCCAGCGCAGTCACACGAGAGCATCATTTCCTCTCAGGAAACCCAAGTGAAATGTGGAGGGGCGGAAAAGAGAACTTTTTCCCCCCGCACTACTCCTGGCTGAAGCACTAGTCTGAAAGAGAGGGCAAACCGTACCAGCCAAGAAAATAAACTCTGGGGAATACCTGAAGTCTGGCCTGTACTGGCAGCAGGGTGTATATCACCAGACCTGACCTGCAGCTGACCTTCCTTCTTTTACACACCTAATGCTGAGCATCCAAACAACTGCCTTTCAGTAGATTACAGCTCTGCTTTTGTTTCTTAATGGAGTGAGTCATGACCACCTTTTTATTAGAAGAAAATAACAAGGCTAACAACAGCAGTACTAATACTTCCTCCGCTGCAGGGTACTGGCCGCAGAGTGTCCCTGACTTCTCTACCCACCAGCAAAATGACTCGGTTGTACTTGGAAATAGATGAGCAATCGGGGCTGAAGCTGTCAGGGCTGTGGGATGGACATGGATACTTTTCCTCGCTGGATCAGCTCCTTCATTTGTCAGGTGCTCCCAGCCAGAAGGGAGAAGTAAATGGAGGTTGCCGAGTAACTTAAACCACCCTCTGCTTTAGGTAGGAAACTCCCCTCCTCCCTGCAGTACTTGACATCATTCCCACTTAGGTTCTGCTGCATCTTTCTGCTCCTCCTCCCGCTTCCCCTTGATAATCTCCCAAACTCTTTCGTCCTTTGTCTCAGGCTTTTATCGGGGCTTTCAGATCAGCTGGTCCTTTCCTTTCTTCCAGGCTGTATTTCCCCTAACCCAGCTCATTCTTCCCTTCTCCCCTCCCTACCTCCTCCGGGCTCTTTGTTTTTGCCTGTTCTCAGTGCTGCAAAGGGAAACTTGCTTGCTGCAGCTGGTGAGGGGCAGCCCCAGCTCCTGGTGGACCCCCATCCCAGGTAAAAGCTTCCAGGGCACAGCATCCATGGAGTAGCCTCCAGCGGGCATTGCTCAGAAACAAAATGCTGCCTCTTGGAGAGAATAAAACTCAACAGGAGCTTTAAAAAGGGGCTTAGGTGAATAAATGAACTCAATTTCTTGGTCAGCAAAAGAGAAAGGATCAGCCAAGTTTCTAAGGCTTGAGTTGCCTGAGCTGAGACAAGGTATGCCCTGTGCTGGGTGCTAGGAGTGTGCCTGTCACCCCAAAGAGTTAATTAACCCCAAACCTCAGCAAGACCAAAGTTGAGAGAAAGCTAGCGAGCCCTGGCTGCTGGAAAGGAGACACAGGGGAAGGTGGATCAAGGGTTGCACAGGAGATTGGTGGGGAAGGTGGTATAGAGAGTAACCTAAATGCCGTCTGGGGCTTGAGCTGCATCATATCCTTGCTGGGGCACAATCCTGAACCTGCATCCTCTGGTTCATTGTGAAATGCGAGAAAATCCTCGAACAAACAAAGTGTAGCACAAGGCAGCAGAGAAGATGGCTTGGCATTTCTTTAATGTTATTAAGTTTTCCATAACATCAGTTTCTAATTCTGGAGTGGCTGATGTCAAAACACTTACAGCACAAGCAGTGAGATAAGTTTGTGCCAGTAAATGGAGAGCTGGAAGACAGGTAATTTTATCCTCAGGGCTGAGGACAGCCGAGTAGTAGCAATGAGAGCTTGTCAACTGAGACCTCATCAGTGTCATGACTTGGTCACTCCTGAGACAATGTCTAACAAAACAGATGGAATCATGAACGTTAGCTTTGTTATGAATTTCTCTCAGTCTCCACAGAATAACCCGTTGCCATAAGATGATTCTAGAGGGTGAAAAGCACTATCAGACACAGATTCTGTGGCGGGACAACCACCCTCTTCACTTTATGGACTCATAGATGTGATCTGATATTAAGCTGGAATCTTTTTTTCTTCCCCCAGAAACTAATAAAAAGACTAGTAACTGCTTGGGCATTTTCAACAAAAAAAAAGAGTTCATACATTTTTCAGTTCAAATCTACATTCTATAACAAATCCATAATCCTATGTGACTATTCCCAAATAATTAGAAAAAGATGCATGCAACAACCTATACGGTTATGAAGAACCAACCGGATTTCAATTTCTTGCGGCCCCAGTGTTTCTCAGACCTGGTTTATATTCCTAGCTCTGCTGCTGTAAACCAGAATTAAGCTAAATGGTACGTTGGCTTGAATGGGAGTTGTCTGTGCTCAGTACTTCTGAAAATCAGGCTGAAAGGGAATCTCAGACTTATGTCTGATTTTTACCTGACTCATGCCTACGTGACTCCACTGAGTGCTGCAAGCTGCTGTCAACAGCTGCTGTCAGGAGTAAAAGGGGAATAAACCAAACCTCCTGTCTCCTTTTAGAAGCCACTGTTCTTTCTGTTCCACTAGCTGGTTACTTACTCCTGCATACAGATGGACAGGCACTTTTTAAAACAGGGATTCCAGCTATCTGCACAATCAAGTTTCAATTTCTCCGCTTGCCTGACATGGCCCAGAGCATCACAAGCCATATAGACGGAGCACTTGCCAGACACAGTTATAAATGTAAAGAACCCATCTTCCCATTTGCAACCACACACTATCCCTGGGGTAGCTGCAGTAATGGCTTACATGGGAAAATGATTTGTGTAGTTAGCTGCCTTTAATGTGAGACAAAGCCCTTTTGTTCTTTTATCAACTTGCCAGTTCTCATTTGTTCTTTCCTCTTCCTGCTGCTGTTTCCCTGCACGCATTTCTTGCCTTTTTGTCCTGTCTCTTCCCTTTTACCGGATGTATTTCCCAGGAACCTGCTCCTATTCCGAACCGGCAGATCTCCCCCCACTAACACAGCCATTGTCAGCCCAGCTGGGTTTTCACTCACATCTCCCGGCTACCCCTGCCCATCGGTACCCAACCAGCCTCCCATGCTGCAAATCTTAGTCCTTGTGTGTGGTTACTGCTTCTTTAGATGGTTCAGAGCCATTAAATGACATAAAATAGTCCTACATGTGCCATTTAATTGACTGTTAGGACAAACATATCTTGGAGAAACACTGGTTACTTTGGTCCAGATCTTTTAGAAGCAAATCTTAACATCGTTGAATCAGACTCCCTCTGCCTTGGTCTTTCTGACTGACTCATTTCTTAAGCACCAGGTTGTTGCCTAGAGGGTATAATCTCATAAATATAATCCACTGCACAGTGTGTGTTACTATGTTCACTCTATTGAGAATGAGTTCAGCTCCTGCGTACAGAAATGACTTTTTAAGCTCAAGATGGAGTAGCTCATGCTTTTAGCTGAGAACATTTTGGAGCCATTTCAGTGGGCTACACAAATATAAGCAAACTAAATAAATACATTCAGAAAAAAACATTACACCCCTGTTTTCTACAGCGGTTCCAGTAGTAGAAAAAAACCCCATCCCACAGCTCCTGCTTGTTTTCTGGGGTCCCCATGCATGGCACAGGACTACAAACCCCTCTCTTACTCCAGCACAAGTGTCGCATTGTACATCCCATGCCTGAAAAGCATTTTATCCCACCTTTGCAAAGAGAAAACAAACACAAAGTAGATCTAGGCTTTGGTCTACCCTCTGGATATCACCCTAGACAGTATTTTGGGATGGTATTTGGGTCTGCTGCAGAGTATCTAGAAGGCAGCTGGGGGAAAGAGGAAGCAGCTGTAGCTGGTGGGCTGGGGGAGGCTGTGGTGACATCAGCCTGCAAACATGCCACCCAGAGCTGGGAAGAGGAAGGAGATAAACCAGACCTC